ACTTGGTCGTTGGCGCGGTTGCACTCGGACTGCGCCTCGAGATCGTTGCACGGCTTCTGGCGGTACTCGTCCTTGTCCTCAAAGTAGTAGCGCTCGCAGTAGCACCGCGCGTTGCCAAGGACGACCAAACACGTGAGCAGCGTCAATACGAAGCGAAGCGGGATCATTTGGATTCGGAGGGAAAAGCTGAAATGAGCTCCAAGCGGCGGGATGCGAAGCCGGCGGGTTGTGGCTCTACGCGTCGCTCTGTACAAGAGCTATCGTGAACGATGGATTGTGCACATGCAGGACGCTCATTCTGCCACGATTTGCTTGTCGTTGCTCGGAGATTCCATGCTATGGTAGCATCCAGTATCTTGCATCTGGCACAATCGACCAGCACGCTCGGTTGGAGCTAGCCATATACGATACTAAATATCGCTGAAAGCACTAGAAGTGTACGTCTCTTTGTTGCATTGTCATACAGCGTACGTGTGGTGCAGTGCATTGACCCTAACCCTAACCCTAGCCACTGATGCCTTGCGGAGAGTTGTTTTGATCGATGTATAGAATTACAGATTAATACATAGTCATGACGGCAAGAGTGGCTGTGACGAGAGAGAGTGTTGCGACGGTGCTGCTGGATTTGCGAATGATGTCGACGGTCGAGTTGTAGCCTTGACAGCGGATCTTGTTGGACTCGCGCTGGATCGTATCTCGGTTCTTCACGGCGGCGACGAGCTCGACCGCAACTGCTGTCAGCTTACCTTGCTCGACGATGCCGGGCACGGGGCTGGTGGCGCCGTCTGCGAGCAATCGGTCGGCAAGGACGTTGTGGATGTTGCTAAAGTACTGCGGCACGGACTTTGCCAGCGCGTCGCACTGCTGGAAGAGCGGCATCGAAAAGCAAATGTCGTTCACGTTGGCGAGGTGCGTGTTGGTCGCGAGGCTGTCGGAGCAGTCGCCGATGGGCTTGCCCCACTCGAAGGCTTCCGAGAGCTTGGACCGGAGGTACGAGGCTTGCAGCGCCGAGACCGTCGCGTTCCGGAGCAAGAGTCCCTTGAGGAAGTTGTCAGCGTTTATGCCAGCCGAATTGACCATGTCGGTGACCATGGCGTTGGCGCGGTTGCACTCAGATTGGGCCTCAAGGTCGTTGCACGAACTGCGCTCGTAGCCGCTGGCCGACGACCCGCAGGGTGGGAAGCTGCAGATCGGCGGGCAAAAGCACCGGGCTTCGGCGAGCGCGACGATTAGGAGCAGCAGCGTCCAGAGCAGCGGCGGCAGCATTCTGGTAACTGGTCGAAATGTGAAAATGATGCAACACCGTAGCAGCAGATGTGCCCGATTCGTTGTCGTTGTTGTGAATTTCCCGCCAGATGGCACCAGAATGATGGTCGGCGTGTCGAACGACCTCTGTGCCAAGCGAATCTACGAGTCCCTGGCTTTGAAACCTACTGTTAGGTGCAGGAGACCTGAGCGACCGAACATCAAAGAATGTCGTCCGCTCGACAAGTAGCATCGACGAGCTGTTGAACGTCGAGACATTTACCGTTTAGCCCCATGACTCGGCGACTTGTTCTTCTTTTGAGTCTCTACCTAGCGGCGGCTGTGGACGGTCGATGCTATTGCGGAGTCCCCGCTGCGTGCAACGACCTTGAGGCGCAGTCCGAGTGCAACCGCGCCAACGACCAAGTGACCGACATGGTCAACTCGGCCGGTCGCAACGCCGACCTCTACCTCGAAGGTCTTCTCTTCAAGAACACATCAGTGACGCCAGCGCAAACGTCGTACCTCCGGTCCAAGCTTTCGGAAGCCTTCGAGTGGGGCAAGCCCGTCGGCGACTGCTCCGACGGCCTCACCACGAGCACGCACCTCGCCAACGCCATCGACATTTGCGTCTCCATGCCGCTCTTCCAGCAGTGCGATGCGCTGGCAAAGTCTGTGCCGCAGTACTTTAGCAACATCCACAACGTACTCTCGGAGCGGCTGCTCGCAGACGGCGCCACCAGCTCCGTGCCCGGCATTCTCGAGAAAGACAAGCTGACGACGCTCGCAACCGAGTTTGTCCACGTGATGAAGGTCCGCACCTCGATCACGCGCGAGTCCAACAAGATTCGCTGCAAGGGATACAACGCGACCACCGAGATTCTACTTCGGCCGTCGTCTGCGTGGACGAGCCAATTGTCTTTCGCCGCCATCGCGGTGCTCGTTTATTTTGCTTCTCTAATGTCCTAGATCAATAAGTTCTAATTGATTACGGCCATGACGCTGCCGATCCTGCTTCTTAGTGGCCGCAAACGAGCACGTTGGAACGCGCATCGTCACAAATTTGGCGTAGGAGAACATCTTGCGACCTCGCAAGTTCAACGTTCGGTTGCTGCGTGAGTTGTCGCGTGTTGCTGGGTTGTCGTCGCCTGACATTACAGACCATCATTCTCAAGATTCAGCCAGAAAACTTGCTAGAAGATCGACGATGTCACTTTGCCTTTTTCCTCCCAATGGTCGCACTACTGCTCGTGTTGGCTTTGCTCGCGACGCTCGTCGACGCGCGCTGCTACTGCCCGCCGCAGTGCAGCTTCCCTGCCTGCACGAGTAAAAGCGACTACCGACGCAGCTCGTGCAACGACCTCGAGGCGCAGTCCGAGTGCAACCGCGCCAACGACCAAGTGACCGACATGGTCAACTCGGCCGGTCGCAACGCCGACCTGTACCTCGAAGGTCTTCTCTTTAAGAACACATCTGTGACGCCGGCGCAAGCCTCGTACCTCCGGTCCAAGCTCTCGGAGGCCATGGAGTGGGGCAAGCCCGTCGGCGACTGCGCGAATGGGCTCACGACCGACACGCACCTCGCGACCATCAACGACATTTGCTTTTCAATGCCGCTCTTCCAGCAGTGCGACGCGCTGGCAAAGTCTGTGCCGCAGTACTTTAGCAACATCCACAACGTCCTCGCCGAGCGGCTCTTGGCCGAAGAGCTCAACAACACAATCTCTGGCATCGTCGAGAAGGGCAAGCTGACGCCGCTCTCGACCGAGTTTGTCCAAGTGATCAAGTTGCGCGACTCGATCCAGCGCGAAGCCAACAAGATTCGCTGCAAGGGCTACAACTCGACGGTCGAAATCATCCAAAACAGCGCTGGGACGACCTCAACACTGCGCATGACGGTCCTCGTCCTCACCGCCATCGCCTTCCTCTTCGCATTCTAACATTATAACCTATCAATAAGAATAAGATTTCACTTTTGGAAATCGCACACAACCCGACGACACGAGCCCGTGGACAGCAGCGACCACGGTCTTTTATCCGGACGTTCGGATACAATGGGGCGACACCAAGAAGCCTCATACGACGCTCTGCCCTGCTAAGCTAGAAAGCTAAGCTAGAGGCCTCAGCTAGAAGCTAGCGTGCTCTCTGTTATCCTGTGCACGCACTGGTATCTCGAGCGAGAGATTCAGTGGCGACATCTCAATCTCCTCAAAAGCAGAGACGATATGAGCCATGATACGGTCGCTTGGCGGACGATCTTGGTCATTTGGCTGCTGGCTCTCCTCACGCGCGCACTCTCCTATACAAAAACCAAGATGCGAGCCGTCCTTGTCCTCTCTCGGGTGGCGATGGAACAAAAATATTTGGCAAGATCC